ACGAGAGCGAGAGAGAGCGAGAGTGAGAGAGAGCGCGCGAGAAAGAGATGGAGAGAGAGCGCGCGAGAGAGAGCGCGCGAGAGAGAGCGAGAAGGAGATAGAGAGAGAGAGAGAGCGAGAGTGAGAGAGAGAGAGAGATGGAGAGTGAGCGAGAGAGAGAAAGCGAGAGAGAGCGAGAGAAAGCGCGCACGAGAGAGAGAACGCGAGAGAGAGAGCGCGCGAGAAAGAGAGAGACAGAGAGAGAGAGAGAGAGAGAGAGAGAGAGAGAGAGAGAGAGAGAGAAAGCGCGCGCGCGAGTGAGAGAGAAAGATGGAGAGTGAGCATGAGAGAGAGAGAGAGAGAGAGAGAGCGAGAGAGAGCGCACGCGAGGGAGAGAGCGCGCGCGAATGAGAGCGAGAGTGAAAGGGAGAGAAAGAGAGAGAGAGAGAGAGAGAGAGAGAGAGAGAGAGAGCGAGGGAGAGGGAGAGTGTGTGTGATCGTATACACAGACTTCCTCCCACTTGCCTCGTAACTCGGACAAATATCCGAATAAGAACTGTGCCTATCTAATAGCATTCACTTACTCCGTAATCCGGCAGCAAGCATAGTGCTCGATGCAGGCCAGTGAACGACCGTGAAGATGCGTGTATGTGTAAGGGGGGAAGTAAAAAAGAGAGAAGGTAACACTTAGGCAGAGCGCGCGGGAGGAAGAGAGCGAGATATAGAGAGATAGATAGCGAGAGAGAGAGAGAAGGGGGAGAGTGAGAGAGAAAGAGAGAGCGCTCACCAACGAGATCGAGAGTGTGTACGTGCATGCACATTTGATAGATGCATTGAGACAAAATGAAATAGGAGACGGACAGTCAGAGAGAGAGGGGGGGTCCACTGTCCATGATTGATCTACGAATGTTAGATTTCTCCCGGTTTCAGAAGAGAAACGCGAGATCGTTTATTACATACGAAATCGCTCTTTCTTGCGAGCGATGATTCAATTACAGTAATCCGACTGATTAAGTTATACCCGTAAAATCAACTTGACTATAGAGATGAAACTGTTTCACTAGGTCGTATCCTGCAGAAAACAGAGATGAATGGAGCAAAGACAGCGCGAGTAAGTGTGATGCATGTGCAACCCATATAAAATTATATTTAATTTTTATATTTTATATTTTATTATATTAAATATTAAATTATAATATTTAAATAGCGACTGCATGGCATTCCCACGGCGATACGTGAGCGCTGACTAACTCAATTGCGTGTTGAACGCGAGCTAACAAACCTTTATTAAATTCCGCGAATTTGTGTACAAGTGTTTTAGGGTATTGTCGAGAGAGGGGGAAGACAGACAGACAGACAGACAGACAGGCAGGCAGTCAGATAGACAGCCAGCCAGCCAGACAGACAGACAGACAGACAGACGGACGAACGTACGGACGGACTAAACACACTTAAGACACAACAACAAACAAACACGCACGCACGCGCGCACGCACACACACACACACACACACACACACACACACACACACACACACACACACACACACACACTAAAAACGGTATACCATATAATAACAATAATTTACGCCAATACGAAGCATTATTTACCCGAAGGTCTCTGAAACCGCATGGGTTTTATGCTTTTAACCCATTTCCGCATCCAAATTTACACGGCCGACGTTACTGCGAGGAAAGAATATTGATAACTGATGCAATCAGCTCGACGATAGATCGATAATTCACTCAGCGATTGCGTTCCCACGTATTCAGGGTCGAACTTTGTGTATGCCCGCCTCAGACCCACCCACGCAGCGCATTCACATGCACGCATATCGATTATATTACCTATGACCCACACGAGGCATTGATAGGTGAAAGCCCTTTGACGTTCACTATAAGAAACGATATCGGTAAACTCAAACTGCGTCACAGTACTCTCTCTCTCTCTCTCTCTCTCTCTCTCTCTCTCTCTCTCTCTCTCTC